ATTACTACCCCGATAGCTACGATGGAAAGGATAAGTACGATGACGAATACGGATACGATGACAAAAAGAATGATCACAAAGATGACAAAAAAGAAAAATATTATTAAAATTTTTTGATAGTTATTTAATATGAGAAACTTATTTCTATTACATAGAGAGAAAAACAAATTGAATACTCTTCTTATTAATAATATTAATAATTTTGATCTTTAACCATTATAGAACTATCAATTTTCTTTTCTTCTTAAAATGTATTTATATTTACCATTTTTTTTATTTTGTATTATAATCATGTCCAAAGCTATAATTTGCAATTAAATAAATAAATTATTGTATTTACTTATACTTATTTTGGTTATTTTGGTTGAATACTTTTATTTAAATATTCAGGATAATCTAATCGAATAGTTTATAAATAATAAATATTGTAAAGCTACGTGTGATATAAGGAGAAGATGATATTTTTATTCGAACTTATAATACTTATTATTATTGATTCAAAATCATTACGACTTCTTTTTCATTTTCTAAACAATGTTACTAATACAACTTTTGTTCATATGAACAATTTCAGTCTATCTTTCATTAGCTTGCTGTTTCTTCTTTCGAAAGATATAATATCGAACTTTATATCTAAAAGCTAAATTAGAGCTTGGACTCGCACTAGTGTAACTCGATTCGACTTGAGCATATCCGAGTTAAACTCTTTTATAATTATTTAGCTAGAGCATTTTTCTTTTTTTTTCTAAAAAAAAACAGACGACCGGTTGGTTTATGGTTATTAGACAATGGCTAATCTTTTTTTTTTTTAAAAAAAACAAAAAAAATTTCAATAAGAAGAACGTTTGTGTCTTTGTTGAAGGGAATGTGGCGAAGATTTTGTACTTACAACCAGAAAATTTCGTAGTGTAAAGAAGCATTTTCTGTGAGAAGTTGAAGACATTGTTAGTAAAAATAAGGTATTGATTTTGCGTTCCAACTTACATCAAACAAAGAGTATTAGAGTTTTTAATACAGTGTTGGATTTATATTGCTTGCTTCTTTGTGCGGTAAAAAAATTTTGCAAGTTCTTTTTGAAGAAAAATGTTTTAAGATTACAACTAGATGCTGCGCATCGGCACGTTATCATGCTGAAGATATTTTTTAATGATCGCAAATTTTTAGATCAAGGGTTTCAGCATCGCCACTTTTAGCATGGTTACTAACATATATACATAATATATATACCTTTAGAAAATACTTTACACCTTTATTATATTATCATATATAGCTAGCCTGGCCTTCTGTACAGCCAGCAGAGGATGTTAACATCCCTACCATCTAGGTCCTATAATATATACCTAACATTCCATCTTACCATCCCTTGACTATTTTTTCAATTTCCGTCCTTATTAAAATTAATGAATGAAACCGTGTTAAAACGCGAAAAAAAAAAAATTATAACAAGATTGATATTAATATTAATCACCTGGAATCTCACACGAGCTTATATTCTGTTGGAACGATTCGAATATCAACCGAATCACTATGAAACAAATCTCTGAAACCCTGCATTATATTTGTGTTAGAATCTTGTATTTCAAAAAAAAAAAAAAAAATTAAAAAAATTTTAATATTCACATTCCAACCAGGATGGTCAAAATGCTTCAGTTTGGGTGTTTCTTTATCCTTACAAATACTACTAGTATTCTGCTCCAACATCCGTTCAGACATACTAGTAGTCTGGCTTCTCTGTGAGAGATTCCATCCTAAAATTAATGAATGATACCGTGTTAGACCGCAAAAAAAAAAATAAAATTATAACGATTGATATTAATATTAATCACCTGGAATCTCATACACGAGCTTATATTGGTCCGGTGGAACGGGTCGAATATCAACCGAATTACTATAAAATAAGTCTCTAAAACCCTGCATGACATTTGTATTAGAACTTTTATATTTCAAATAAAAAATTGTTTCCTAAAAAAAAAAATTTTTTTAAAATATTTACGCTCCAACCAGGATGGTCAAAATGCTTCAATTTATTATTTTTAGCTTGTTGTTCAGACGTATTTTGCTGTTCAGCTGTATTTTGTTGTTCAGACATTAAAAATTTTATAATGAGAAATTTTTTAATAACAGATAAAGAAATAAAAAAAGGGAGTAAGGTCTTTTATATATTTTTTTGTTGTACAAACTTTTTTATAAATTAATAATAACAATAAATACAAAAAATGTTGTAATTGACTTATGATGTCATTATGTCATGATGCGAAAGTAAGCAAATACCGATCAATCTATCCAAATATATCAATAATTGTCAAAGAAGAAAACAAGCATATGGAATATGTGGAGAATGTAAAGAACCTGGCACAGGATGGAGATGGATTGTTGTGTATGCCGCGTAATAATTTTTATGCTGTTTTACGCGCTTTCATAATAAAATGTTGATATTAGTAAATATTAATAACATTCCCGTTTATTTTTATTAATATTATTAATAGTGAAATTATTATTATTATTTAAAAAAAAAGATTCTTAAATTATTTAAATTTTTATGCATGACGTGTTGGCATTAAGGATGGTCATCGGTCCTACCGGTCCTAGTCGGTCCCAGGACTTGTAGGACCGGACCGCGGTTTTGCATTTTTCATGGCGCAGTAGGACCGGTCCCGAGGACTGACCAGTCCTCATACCGTTCTTCATATAATAATGATTTTTATATAAAAAATTTTTTCGTTTGCAAAAAAAAGAAAAAAGACTGATCGTCTTAAAAAGACTGCGGTCCTTAAAAAGACCGACGATCTTAATATATGCGATACAGGACCGAAAGACCGCAGTCCAACACCAAGACGGACCGGTCCGTCTTTTTAAGGTGTAAGACCGTAGGACCACGGTCTTTTAGAACCGATGAACATCCTTAGTTGACATAACTAAAAAAAGTTTTAATATTACGATCGCACAATTCTCACGAAATGATCCGTGACTCGATTTAGACAAGAGCGACTTACGATGTGGTAACGATGGTAGAGCCTAAAAGTTCTATCCTATACGACTATTACAGATAAGCAATCAAATATAATGCAAAAGTTCTAATATTAACATTTCAATAATTTCGAAATTGACAATTATGAAACAATATTTTTATAAATTTTATCTTATCGAGAAAAACATAATATCACATTCGATGAACTAAAAAAATTATTTGTTGATTTTAAATTTATCTATTTATGACAGAATTGATAATATTCTTTTCTTATTTCGGAACGGAAGATCGTGAAATGATAGTAGATAGTTTTTTTTTCGCGTCAACAGTTGTTCGGTCAGACATCGCTGACTAAATGATTAACATTAAAATATTTTTGTTATCAAAAATTTCAAAAAATTAATAATTATTAAGCGATAAACAAGAGTTAAAATAATTTGGTTTGGTATCGGGTCATGTGTACGGTGTGCTTTCCAATGGCCAATCCAATCCGTGAAGATTTTTTTTTCTTATGATACTAACGGAGAAAGTATAGTTTTTTTATTAATTATTATTATAAAGGTTTTATTTTCGGTCGTTCTTGTGATCCAGCGGATCGTTATCACCACAGCTATCCGAACGTTGATTTTAAATAAAAAGTATAAAAATTTTTTTTTCAAAACCGAATTTTTGATTTTTTTTTTTTTCGTTCTTTAACCTTTTAGGTTTGGATCAAGTTTCAGTACTGTGATATAATCGAAATAAATATATTTTGCGTTATTCGAATAAATATATTTATAATAATATTAATAATAGTAATAATTTCACTAATTAATACTATTTAAACAAGAATACTATTACGTAACAGTTATTAATGTTTATTTAATATAAAAATTTTATTAGAGGTTAATAAGGAATTTATCGTAAATCAAATTTAATTTTTAGAAATTTTTCGTAAAATTATGAAAAAATATAGATAAGGAATTTTTTATAATAAAAAAAAAAAAAAATTTAAAATTTTTTTGTTATTTTGATTATCGATTACCGGAAAATTTCGTTTACTTTCAGTTGTTGTTTCTTTTCGATTTTGCATTTTAGCATCATCGATCGATTTAAGCGTTCAAATTCCTTTAATTCTCTGACTTGATCTGTTTTATATTTTAATGCTGTAAAATTATCATAACTTTAAAACTAATTTTCATGACGCCAACTCTGTTTTTTTCCAATGTAATAGTTATTTCACGGCTGCGCCGTGAAAATCATGATATTTATGCGACACGTGAAATAAAATAAATTATTTAATGTATATTATAAAAAAGCCATTAAATCGAAAATTGTATATTTTTTAAAAAATGCATCATCACTTTTTGGACAATTTGAGGAATTTATCGTAAATTGAATATTTTTTTAAACAGTAAATAGCTTCAGTTTCTTTTAGCGTCGGGCGATTAGTAATATTAAATTATTACTAATTGTCGTTTTATTTTAATTTTTTTTAGATATTCTGCTGCGGTGCTGCGGTCAACGGGCTAATGATTTTTTTTAAAAAATTTAAATTATATTTATAATATTCTTTCTGAAAAAATTTAATAATTAACCAACTGGAATTATTAATTTTGACCAGGATTAAGATTTTAATTATTACCACCAACATAAATTATGGAAAATTCCAATTACGTAATCACGAATTTTTTTTTATATGCTTTATTATAAGCGGTATATGTTATTGGTATATCGAGATTTTTAAATAATGTGAAACTGGTAAGTTCAGTAAGTCAAGAGTTCATTATATCATGGGTTGACTGGGTTCGTTATATCAAGTATTATCAATTTATACATTTATTAAACATGATAAATAAATAATAAATAATGGTTGTATGGAAAAAATAATTTATTTATGATTGAATTTTCATAGGCATCACTCTGTTGTAAACTTGTAATAAACAGCAGAGAGATGCAGCAATGGTGACTGCTAATGATATCAATGAAGACGATAAAGATGATAAACCTATTCGGAGTTTTTTTGGAATAAAAACTAGAAAATGATCATTTATCGGAGTTTTTCCCAGGAAATTTTTTATGGGAAGTATAAGGCATATTTGTTCCCGAAAGGTCCAAATATTGCCAAAGTCGACAAGTCCCTCTCTCTCTCGCTCGTTCTTAGGGTTTCTTAGGTATAAAGGCCACAATTAACTAGCCTATTCAATTTAAAAAAAGAGCCCAATAAAAGCCCAATTACAACTTTAATAAAGCATAAAGATTAAAAGAGCCATCCACAAAGTAAATATTGTTCAACCTAATG